TGAATTTAAATCTATATTTATTCACACCAGCTCTTGAAAACCTCTTTTTGCGAACACACTTGCCCGAAAAAGTGTGGGGGACAAATTTACGTGATATTAAAAGTGGGGGGGACACGTCCCCCGCGTTATCTACGCCCCTGTTTCAAACAGTTCTGATACTAGAATGAATATGATTTTAAAACTTATATATGTTGGTATGTATGTACATGTTCCTATTGTGAAATATTTTGTACTTGCTAAACCCTGTTGTGTCTCTGGTTGTCTTTCAGCATCTGTGCTTCACTAGATCTACTAGATCATCTGAGGGATTCAACTGAATCAAGATGCTGCTCTTCTTCTCATTTTAGCTGCTCTAGGACAGGTAAGCTTGTGTTCTAGTATGAATATTACAGACATGAATACTGATGATTGATCATTATGATTCCTGTTGCTGCAGGATCACAGATTAGCTGCTGCTGTTGAAAAGATATTTCCATTAGATATACCAAATTCTGCTGATGACCAATATGAGGGATGTACAAATGAAATGGCAGCCAAGGTGGAGAAATACTATAGAGAAGGAAAGATCTGGATCAGCTGAATTTATTAAGACTTGGCAAGAATAATGCAAAGAAAGCAGAGGATAACTTGCAGCAGATTCATTCAGTCGCTATTCATGTTTACACTAACAAAGACTCTACAGTATATAATAATTTCACTAGTGCCACTCGCACTGACAAACAGAAATACAGAGAGGGGACATTCACATGGTATTCACTTCACTTTTTGTTAACAGAAGCGATACAGATTCTGAAGAAAACACAAAATAGATGCTATATAGATTTGTTTCTGATTGTTAAACTTTTTAATTGTATTTATTTATCAGTTTTCTTCTTCTTCTTAGTTTTACTTTACTCATCTGGTACAATTACGTGGTCTTGTTTCATGAACTCATTGTATATTTTTTGTGAAATGTTACAACCAACATAGGCTCATTCAAAATATGTGCCTCTAAATACATTTCTGCAAAACTGAAAAAACGGTTGGTTGCTCTCTAAAGAGGGTACACTGTAAAGCGACAGTCATGTTACAACATGTCCATGTGACAGGTGATCTAATAATAAAAAACACAAGATTTACTAAAATATGGTGTCAAAAGCAATTGATTCACTTCAGTAGTAAGAAAGTGGGCACATGAGGATGAACAAACAACACAAAGTCAGCAAAACCAATGCAGGTAAATGAAGACTCACACAACTCAGAGGACAAGAAGACAGACAGATAAGAATGCTGAGAAATCAATGTAGAAATTTCTAAACATTCAGATTACAGAAAACATGCACAGTTAAACTGGGGGTTTTGTGATGCATTGACAGCTGTCTCTGCATACAGAAGTTTAGGGATTCAGTGAAATTAAATCAAAATTGATTCACACTTATAGTATATTTCATGAGATGTTAGTACTGTGAAGTTGACTTGTTTGTAATGCGAAAACAACTGAGCGAAGAGACAAAAGTGGCTGAAACGCTATCTGTGGGAAGCATTTGAGAAGTTTCAAGGTTTCAAGACTTCTTGTGTGATTTACTAAAATTTCTAAAATTAAATACTTCGGATCTTCTAAGTATTTTCATAATTCCTGCAGGAAATCCATTTGATACAAACCAGTCAGTAAATGACACGGTCTCCACCATCATCTCAGCTATGTTCATGGAAAAGAGTTTGAATACGAGGACCCAATGTTTCAGGATTATGACGAACAAACCAAACAAGCACAACTACATGACTGGGTGTGTTGTGATACAGGTGCATTCATCATTTTTAATGCCATTTATTCATGTTAGACAAACAGATGCAGATGCATTTTAAAGTTGGAGTGTGTTTCCACCTGCAGATCTACATGCGTCCGGTTCCGGCAGAAAATGAGGAAAGCAACCTTGCATTGGCATCTATTGAATCTATTTGTTTTCTTTTTTTTTATTCCCTTTGCTTTAGACAGGCAGAAAAGTATAGTAAAATGTTATTACATTTTGCACAGTTATAGGACAGGCACAGAAAAATCATCTGACCAAATTTGTTGTCACTCTCTCAAACCCTATAGCACCACCAAAAGTAAAAATATTCCTTCAGTGTTAGAAATGTATATAATAAATGGTCTAGAAAACACAATTAAACATTGTTGAAAACATACTTGTTCAGACTTGTCCTAGAGCTTTCAACAGATAAACCCAAATTCGGGTGAAATGTTTTTCAGACAAAAGTCAAACACATCTTTTGTGATAGTCAACCATTCCCATGTGACACAATGAATAAATGGTGTGTGGACTTCAAAAGATGTGACGTCAGATTTTTGATGCATTGACATGGAGCCCTAAAGTCCATAGTGATTTCAACCAACATTAAAAAAGGGTATACTGATGGAATTCACCTCGGTTTTTTTTACAGAAGTGATACAGATTCAGAAGAAAACACAAAATAAGTGCTATTTCACAATTCATAGGGGTTTGCGATCTTGCTATCTATCTATTTGCTAGGCAGGTTTTATGAATTTAATTTGCATTAAATTGGTTCAGTTTTAAGTTTACACATCCTTAAGTCGAAACTGTAAAATATCAAACTTGCAAAATGTTCTCCTAACTAATGTTAAGAATTTGCTTTAACAGTGTTTGTTGTAGTAGGAAATTATGCCAACAAAGACCATTTTGTTGAAATACCTGTTCAAATGTTGTTCCAACTGACTCTCCAAATAGTCATCTGGATGAACAATGTACTGTGATGCATCATTTATCTCACTCACAGACCCACACAGAACACATGGACACGGATAATATGCAATTTACAAAAGCCTCATCTCCTGGTTTTAAGAGTCGTTGTCGTCTGACTGTGAGCGACTGACTTTTCTGATCTTCTCCTCTCGGCCGTTGCTCCTGAGCACCTGAAAAATAACAAAGAAAACTCACAATCTGACAACAAGAGAGAAAAGTATTTTTTTTTAGATACGTTTGGGATTAAGTTAAAAGGACAACATAACAGTTTTATTGTAAAAATCTATGTAAATATTGCTTTCCATTTAAATAGATATAGCATTTGTTAAACCCTGCTTTGTTTGACTTTCAGAATCTGTGCTTCACTAGATCTGGAGATTTGACAATCAAGATGCCGCTTGTTACGGGGCTGACGAGACGTGAGACTTGCGGATCCATTCGC